GACATTGAATTATTGTAAAGAGTCCAAAGGAAGGCTCCTTACTTTAGGAAGGACATTGAATTATTGTAAAGAGTCCAAAGGAAGGCTCCTTACCTTAGGAAGGACATTGAATTATTGTAAAGAGTCCAAAGGAAGGCTCCTTACCTTAGGAAGGACATTGAATTGTTGTAAAGAGTCCAAAGGAAGGCTCCTAGGTTGGAAAGGTCATATGAGGATAGATTAATATCTCTGTGATTGTTTTCTCATGGGAAAAAAAGAAGAGTTAGGGAGGATTTAATTGAAGTGTTTGAAATTGTTAAGGGAATTGATAATGTTGATGCATTACGTTTTTTTCGTACTTAGAGGTGATAATGGTAGGACTAGGTAAGAGCCATCATCAGATGTGTTTGATGCAGTTAATTTAAGGGAGCTTAAGTGAAGATTTGATTTTAATGATAAAGAATGGCTTTGAGTATTTAATTTACATTTTAAAGCTTAGTTTAGTGGGTAGGACAACGTAGATTGACCAACAGGTCCCTTGTTGTCTTTAGACTATATGTAATGTACAATTTACTTTTTACAACACATTAATAGTTTTCTAACAGTATCTTTTATTTCGCCCCCCAGTGGTATTGAATGTCTGCGGGCTTACATCGCTAGAAACTGGGTTTCGATACTCGTAATTGGTAGAGCACAGATAACCGTTTGTGTAGCTTTGTGCTCAACTATAAACAAATAATCTTCTTTTCCTAAAGAAATATTTTTTTATTTGATACTACATATTTGTTCATTCCTTTTGTATAACTGCATTACGATATTATTTGTTTGTTGGAACGTAAAATATTTCTGTATCTCTCTTTTCCATTAGAGAAATTATTAAATATATCTTTAAATATTCCAGGAACTGGTGTTCGTACAAAGTCTCCAAGATGGTGCCCTGTAAAGAGAGGAACGGTACAGAGACGTTTATTGGTCGGAACTGGCAGCGTTGTTGGCAGTGGCCCTATAACCGTAACTGTGGTGGCACCTATCGGTAAGGATAGTAACGTAACATGCTAATTTAACATGAGGTAATATTTAAGCATGTATTTTTTGCCATTGGTACATCAGGAAAATAAAAGTTTTGATGCTTCAAACTTTTAAGAAAGTGTGATTTTAAGTAAATTATTTTTTTAAAGAAAACCCTGGAAGTGATAATGTCAAAGTCATTTCTCCAGGCTGCTCAAAGTGGCAGACAGAAATATATGTTATATCTTGAAGATCAGAAAAAGGAAAAGGTTGCAAGTGAGGTGACGGAAAAAAGAAAGTCAATCTTACAAGAACAAATACATAATCTTGGTCGTAAACGAAAAAAAGATGGCTTGATAACAGTTCAGCACTTCTGCCCTCTGCTGGTGAACTTGCCGAATAGACTGAGAAACAAGATAGTCAAACAACTTCAGGAAGTCAGCAAAAAATTAGGAGTTAAATATGAAGATGAAAAAATTGAAAGTCCAAACTTGTGTATGAGCATTTTGCTACAGAAAACAACATGATGTGTTAAATAAATAAAGTTGTTTTTTATTATTTGACATAATATTACTATCTCGTTTTTCTCGTATAGTATAGTTGTGTAAGATACTAAATAAGAGCTTTGTAAAGTTTTGGAAAATACTGTAATTTCAATCCGATTTAAGTATACGAACCATGGAAACGATTTTTCTTTTTTATCTATCAATATTCATATTGACATTTATAATATAATTTGCTTCCCTTTGCATATACAAAGACAACTCTAAATAGATTGAAGAAAATAATATATTTATTTTAAAATATTGACACGTTTCGCCTCTAGTGGTAAGTTATTAAATTATTCGTAAATCATGCACTAAACATGGAATACACTAGTTGGAAAAGCCGACCAGTGGCACAGCGGTATGTCTGCGGACTTACAACGCTAGAAATCGGGTTTCGATACCCGTGGTGGGCAGAGCACAGAAGCCCATTGTGTAGCTTTGTGCTTAATTACAAACAAACAAACTAGTTGGAAAAAAAAAAAGAATCTCGCATCTAAGATGTTTCGTCATTGTTGGAACTTTTAATAATTTTTTGTCGTCATTGTTGGAACCTAGGTAATAATACTTTGGAACTTTTAATAATTTTTTATCGTAATTGTTGGAACCTAGGTAATAATACTTTGGAACTTTTAATAATTTTTTGTCGTCATTGTTGGAACCTAGGTAATAATACTTTGGAACTTTTAATAATTTTTTGTTGACTTCTTCAGCTAAGAAATTCGTTATAATAGTTTGTGGTTTTTAAGGTACAATTCCATATACTAAACTAATTAGCGAGATTGACTATTACTGTTTTGGTTGATACAGCACTTGGTAAAGTTACCTTCTATAACGGTAGACATTATTACCAGAAGATATACATTTTTAAAGTGTGTTCGCCAAAACAATTCTACAAAAAGGACGAAATTATATGTAAAAGTTGACTTTCATTCAGGGTTGAAATTATACCGGTACTCACTGGTACTGGGACTTATTTTTTTAAGGCGGTACTAGTACCGGGACTTATTTGATTTACTTTGTAGTTTTTTATGTTTACTCGTAGATTTTTTTTTTTTTTTTCAAAAACAGGCCTACTTCACCCTGCTGAGTACCTGTACATTTTGTTTTGATAATTTCACCCCTGCTTTCATTCTTTATTCAATAGATCTCCCAATTTTGGGTAATAAATTTCTAGAAGAAGTAAAAAAACCGATTTTTCAAAATCAATAAAAGTGATTACAAGCATTTACTAACTTGTTCCTTGTTACCAAACATTCCTTATATATTTAGATATATACTATTGTCACTATAAATAAATTGTTTCGCAATGAAGAAGTTATAGCCTGACCGATTTCTTTAGTAACTATAAATAATTAAGTAAATACACCAACTGCTCAATTTTTATGTTGTTTCAGTTAAAAAAAACAACTTCTTTCCATAACTATAGTTGCTTAAAGACATTATTTTCATGGATTTCCTCGAAACTTATGATGTAGGCCTAATAATGTAGACGCTTTTTTTTAAACGGTTCTTAACCTTAGAGATAACGATGAAAGTAGATGGACCTTATTGACTTTTCAAACGAATTTTTCTATACGATTTATACACCAGATTGCTCATGGTGCATGATTTTTTTTTCAGTTACAGAGTCCTTAACACCATGCACATTTTATATATAAAAAAATGCCATCAATATTAAAGTTAATTCCTTTAATTACTTCTGGGGGTCTTCTGTGTATTTTACATAGAAAATAAGTGGTTCCGCTTTTTGTCCTGGTAAGTTGTTTTCTTAAATTGACTTTTGTAACAGGGAAGAAAACGTAAAATTACACAATATGAAGAAATAAGTGGACTCCACCCTTAATGAACGGTTTATAAACGAATCCATAATTTTAGGGTTAATTTGTTCATTACGTATTTGAAATGTAAGTTTTTGTGCTTCTAGTATTGAACGAAAGGCGTCGTGACTTGTAAGAACCGTGAAGAAGACGTAATATTCTTTGTTTACACACCTCCCACTTCAAATCAGTAATGGGTAAATTAATTGACTTAGAAAAAAAAAACGAATGGGATTTTATTACAACTATTAGGCCTATTGGCTTACATTACTTCGCCAATTTTTGATGGCCAAGATCTAACTAACGAAATAATTACAGTAGTTACCTTGTTAATAACAAAAAAAGGCCCCGAGATGATATACGTAACTGTAGCCATCTGACGAAATAATGAATTATAAGCTGTATCAGTAGTTACGTGAGAAAAATATATTCAATTGGCCGTACTGATGGCCAGATTGATTTTTAATTTCCCCATGAGTACAAAGCTTACTGTAATTGGAAGTTGTTATTATTATTATTCTTTGTAAAGTTATTTTGTTGCACCATTGATTACTTACTTATTTATTTCAGTGTAATGCGAAGGCCTAAGTATATCACGACTTATAAATCGGTTACTCAGACTGTATGGAAGTGTTGCCCTGGTCACAGTGGGGACCACTGCGACAATAGTAAGTCTTGACTTCTTTGTTATGTCTAATTGGATAACAATGTTTGTAATTGTTGACCTCTTTGTTATGTCCAGATGGGTAATAATGTTTCTAATATTCTGATTGGTAAACATTAAACTATGTAATTTTTGGGCATTAGAACACACTTTTAATTTTCTTGAACTACAAGTTTCGGCCCCTAAAGGTAGATTGTAGATAACGGCTTTTTTACAGCGAAATCTAACAGTTGTAATGTTTAAAAAGTATATGAATTTATTATGATTTTTCACCCGTGTCGTACAAATACTTGATAGAAAGAACTGCTTTGTATGACACACTTTGATAGTTTCATAGTAGTTTTTTTGCATTAAACAGGTTTAAAAATATTTATTTTCAGATTGCTACAACTGCTCATCATTCAAGACTCTTGAGCGAAGACTTCGACTCCTAGAATCTCAAGTAAGAGTAATTGGAAGTTCTGATTTCTTTAGTTCATTTTTTAACAGTTCCGGAGTTATCTTCAGCGATACTTACCATATTATTAATTAAAAAAATATGTTCTTTCCCTACAAACTGGATGGTTGCTTCAAGCTTTTTCTTTCTTTCATCCAATAGTTTTCCCGTGTTCGACGCTACAAGTCATCCAGAGATTCAGCATCTGAAGACGACAGTGATAGTTCTGAAGAAATTGAACCCGCATCTGGTCATGGAAGGCAACCTGTAACAGTGCCTGGTCATTCTGCCAAAGGAAAACTGTTTGAAGAAAGTCCTCAGAAGAGTCCTACAAGTGATCCCGAATATGGGGTTTTTAGGCAAAACGTGGACACTCAGTCTTGTAACTGTCCACCTGGTCCACCAGGCGCAACAGGTTTTCCAGGACAGAATGGAAGGCCAGGAATAAAAGGCGATTCTGGAGCTCCTGGCCAGAATGGACTTCCAGGAAGAACTGGACCTCCAGGCCCTAGAGGCCCACCTGGACTTCCCGGGCCTCCAGGTGATGTTTACGAAGGAGTAAGAAGAGGAGACACTAGATTTTCAGATTATGAACAAGCTGATAGACTGCGTGGTCCTCCAGGACCACCTGGCCTTCCTGGAGAACCAGGACTTCCCGGCTTGGAAGGGAAGGAAGGTAAAGAAACGTGTGTTATCGAACGTGAACTTTGTTTTAAAGAGGGATATTGGCTGGCACTACAGCAGAAAAATGATAAGGATTCATACTTCTGTATTACTAGTTTAAGAATTGTCGGATTTTGAACTGGTTTGAAAACTTGAGTTCAGAAATATATGTTTGAAGTCAGGAAGTACTTAATGAGCCTCAAACTTTGCGACTTATTTCTGTTAATTGTTTTAAACAATTTATCTAATTAATGTAACCTAACAGTTTTTATCAAAATGTATAACTTTACCCATCGGTGAGCCACACATATATTTATTTTAGTAGTAGCAGTAGAATGACTATACTATTTTCATGATGAAAAGGGTTAACTAAATAAATTACCATAATCATGTTCATTAGTAGTATTACTGCAATTAATATTTACATGTACATATTAACAATTTACAGGTCCGCCTGGAAAAGATGGAATTCCTGGAATATCTGCACCACCAGGACCCCAGGGCCCCCGTGGCCCTCAAGGTCCTCCTGGGCCACCAGGTCCAAGAGGAGAACCTGGACCAGTGGGACTGCCTGGACTACCAGGAGAGCCTGGTCTAGAAGGTCGCACTGGCCGTCCTGGGCCTCCAGGACCTCCTGGATTAAATTTCCGAGCCAGTGGTATTAGTAAGTTAGTTCTTTGTAGCCGGTTCTGGTTTTTATGGCTTATTTTTTCATTTGTTTTTTCCGATTTCGTAATGGTCAATATAAAGATTTTTCCAAACTTTGGTCAAACAGGTATAACAGAAACCAGAAAGTTAATACGACAAAAAAACGACAGATACGTGATTTTTTTCGGTTTAAACTCCACGTATCCGAAATGTTGCCAAACAAGCAAGAACAACTTGACTGCATGCATTTTGTAATAACAAAGGTTTCACGTCTTACGGTATTTATTTTAAAATAGCTCATTAAATAATGTCCTTCGGTTAAATTACAATAGATCATAACTATTAGACGGTCACTTCAAAAGTTAGGTTATGACCATTGCTTTTTTGTTTTTGTTTTACCACTATATCACTGTAATTCATATTCCAGCCTGCCTGAAGAACTCTGGTATTTGGCGAAAGGCCTCGCCGGCACTACTGTATATAATTTATTGATAACTTGTACGAATTAACTTACTGGAGAAATTCCTATCTTTTATAATATTTGTGTTCAATAGTTATTTATCAACGCACACTCTTGGATACCAGAGACACCTTAGGTTATTGAATAAAACAGATACCAGTAACTTGGTGGTGTGAGTAAGGCGTTCTGTTACAAAGTGTTATGGTAACAAGAGTATATTCCACTCCAGTATTCATAATCCTTTGAACCTGCTTTATTGCTGATGTCTTATATTATGTTGTAATGAGTAGTCATCGTTAAATTCAAAATACTATTGAATAAATGGTCTGTGTAAATTAACAGGAGCAATTAGAGAGACACTGTTTAAAATCTCTTAAGTTCGTTGTTTTAGCACCGTTTAGTTATATCAGAGGTCAAGAATAAAAGTAGATTAGTGTAGAAATCATGAGTTTATTTAGATAAATTAGTGTTTAACATATGTGAGTTATGTGAAATTAAAATTTGGTTTGTTAACAGAAACTATAACTATGAAACTTGGCCTGGCATGACTTGGTAGTTAGGGTGCTCGACTCGCAATGTGTACGATCAATCCCACTATTCTTTGGTAAAAGAGTAGACCAACAGTTGGCGGTGTTGACTTGGTAGTTAGGGTGCTCGACTCGCAATGTGTACGATCAATCCCACTATTCTTTGGTAAAAGAGTAGACCAACAGTTGGCGGTGTTGACTATTTACCTTCCTTCTAATCTATCAATTCAAAATTAGGAATGGCTAGCACTGGATAGTTCTCGAGTAGCTTTGAGCGATATTCAACGAATGAACAAAATTTGGATCAAAGTCATTCTTGAAATATATTGTGTTATGTTATGATCTAAACCGTTAAGCGCTTACCTTGTTGTAAACTGAATCCAAAAGTCTAGCATACAAAAATAAATTAACAAATCAAGTAGATCATCAATTGACCGTTAAGTGTGAAATTTTACGTGATAGCCCCCTGCTAGCTCAGCAGTAAGTTTGAAGGGTCCCTAAATGGCACAGCGGTATGTCCGCAGACTTACAACGCTGAAACCGGGTTTCGATACCTGTGGTGGGCAGAGCACAGATAGCCCATTGTGTAGTCTCATGATTAAGAACAAGTAAAAATAAAAAGAAAAAAGATAAATTATCAGGATTGGGGATTACTCCTCATAATGTATTATCTCTGTGAATTATCTTAGGGATTACATCTTCTGAATATTTTTGTTGTTAATTCCAGAAAAACAATTTTATATATTAATTTTAATTTTAGGTCCGCCTATTGGAGCCCAAGATGCCCCGATTGATGCCCCCAAAGAAGATGATTTGCCCCTGCCTTGGGTAAGCATTGAATATTCAACCCTCTATGTATATTTCCTGAGCAAGTTATTAGTGTTAATCTAGTTCAAAATCTGTAAGAAAGTCACTGTGTAATATAATAGAATTCCAATCAGACTATTATATTTGTCATATCCATTGCCGACGACGCGTTTCGCTCAATCCAGAGCTCTTCAAGCCGGCTGAGATACAACAAAAAATAACAATTAATAAACATTATTTATGTAAGCCATTTGATACAACAATAATTGTTATGCTGTGTACGCCTAAGGGGCTAGATTAAGAATGTAGTGTTTAAAAATGTAATGAGCTTAATACTTATGACTAATATAACAGTAACATTTTTCAACAGCTTGTAAAAGGCATACACACCATAACATTTAAGAAAGTCATTGACTGATCAATGATGGTTAGAGATAGTTTTTGATGAAAATACCCTAAAAATCAACCTTCAATTGTCAGTAAAGTTAATTATGTCATAATAATCGATAATATTTGGAAAATTTCATCAAAACTAAAGTAATAGAAAAATGTAGCCACTTTTGTGACCCTCACAGTGGGACCCTACATTTTAGTTATCTGATTATAATTTACATGTATACGACAAAATGATAGGCTTAACGAAATGTAAGACATCGGTATGAGTGCATTAGAGGAATCATACAGTATTTGCATTCAAGTAAAGATCTAGCATTAGGCCTACAGATAAACCTTTTAAACTTATAAATTTATCACGTTAGGCCTACAGAAAACTCGTTAAAATTAATAGATTTATTGCAATAGGCCTACAGAAAAGTTCTTTAAATTTATAGATTTATCACATTAGGCCTACAGAAAACTCGCTAAAATAGATTTAGTCATTTATCACATTAAGCCTACAGATATCCCGTTTAAATTTACAGATTTAAAAGTTTCCTCTCTGAACTTATATGTAGATTTTCCTATTCACTAGATAAATATCACCTAATTATTTTTGGGGAATAACCAACTTATAAGTTACCTGCAATTTAGCTGAGCCTTCTTTTTCTGCTGCTATAGTTCTCCATTTTAAACTTATTGCAATTCTCGTTGTATTGTTGTAGAGGTTTGGAAATTTCTGTCTTACTTTTACAGTTTTAAAAATTGCAGTTATACTGTCCTTTCTTTAATGAAAAAATGTTTAACATAATCTATTTTTCATATCGTTTCTTATTAGACTCTGCTAGAGATGATTGAAAGCCTTCAAGAACAGGTAGATAAATTAGACGCCAGAGTCTCTCTCATCGAGGACCTACTGCCAAAGTTTTTAAAAGGTATTTCCAACTTTATTCAAACTTGAAATCCCACGCAGGGAAGAACTTATATATATATTTCATTATATTAGCAATATTTGTGTGTGTGTGTGTGAGAGAACAAGAAGAACTTAAGAAAACTAACCTCTCTTAATTACTGATATTAGTACTATTACAGAACACGTAATCACTATAAAATAACCTCTCCATCTTTTTCATATCATTGAATACTCAGATTATTCTCTGTTGCATTGGTTCGGTTTCTTTTAAACTCACCTATTTCCATTATTGTATGTGTTGTTAAACAATTTGGATATGGTAACATAATTATTCAAGTAAAGGCTGCAATATAATAAAATGTTGGCTAATATTCTGCTTAAATATATAGCTGAGGGGTTATAGAACCGTTAGCTGGAAATTATCAAAACTTTTAAAGATTATGATAATTCAGTATTATTAATTTTAAATGAAAATGTGCTCTGAACGAATTTTCTTCTGTGAAGAACAATAAATAATGAACAATTACATTAAAATCCTAAACGATATCTCCGAATTCTGTATAATAAAATCGTCATAGATTTATTAAGTATTTTTTAAGAACTGTACTCATTGTTTCAAAATTAAGTCATCAGAATTTGAAAACAAAATTGATATAAATGAATGTTTTAAGAAAAACGTTTTATTATTGGTGAATATTTGACAGTTCTCCACTAGGTAAAACACTAACTTACTTTTCAAAAAAACAAAAAGTTATTAGTGAAAGAAAATTGGCTGCTCAGAAGATGGTAAAAATTAGCCTAATCCAGACTCCGAACGCGACATTTGCGTATATTGTATCGGATTGCAAAATGTAGTTATAGATCTAAAACATATACTAATCATTTAGTGTGTGATAATGTTTTTTGTATTACAGTTCCGTGAAATTACCTCTGTAGATTGTAGCTGTTTTTTAACATATAGACGCGGGTTGGCTCTGTGGTAGATCTCTGGATTTCGAAGCTGACGAGCCGGGTTCGAGTCAGTGCTATACCACAAAATAGTCCTCGTACATTAAGCTGTGGGTATATTATATGAGAGAGAGTCAACTCCTCGGCGTAGGTGTAAGGAGCAGCTGACTGTTTTTTCCTTTGACCAGTAATTCATAATTAGGGATGGCGGAAGATAGATTTGGTAGCTTTGCTATAAATATAAACTTATTATATTTCATAAACAAATAATATAATAAAATAATTTTTAACAGAAATAAGAGAGCATCCAACTGGTATTCGCACTGATCGTTATCCATTGGAAGATATTCCACCAGAACCAGGAATATACCCTTACCCGCAAACCTTGGCTTCTCGCAGGGGTATACCCGGAAGCCCGGACTTCCCTCACGTGGACACAGGCGTGGATGTAGTCAACAGCGTCATCAGAGGAGATGTTGTTGATCCTTACAGGCACATGTTGGGAGATGAGAAGGATTCCTCCGACTCCAGCGATGGCGGTAAAGAAAAGCCTCCTGGTGTGACAGCTGGCTAGTTTTGGTCATTACTGAACCTTCGTAACGTCCTACATCTCATTTAATAGATGTATGTTTTAAACTTTCCCTGGGTTGTTTTATCTTGATTTATAGTAGATAATGTTACTGATAATTTCACCACTAAAATATTAATTTGTTTTATAACCATTTCTATACTATTACCTATTACAAAGAACCACTCCTCAAAAAACAAACACATTTATTTGCTAGAATTAAATTAGCAGATATGATTTTGTATATCAAATATGTCATTCTTTGATTATATAAATCTTTCATAGCTTTATAATTCAGTGTTACTATTAAACAGGATAAGCTTCTTTTGGGAGTACGCATGCGTAGGATACCTTGATAAAGTGATTTTTTTAAGGCTACAATAGTGTTTTATCACTCAGTACCTATTTTATCAAACGTGTCACTGCTGGCAAAGAATACTGTCTATGTATTTTTAACAAGGTTCTACTTTTGTATTTCACTCGTCGTTCCAATAAAAAATTTGTCAGCATTTCGAGTAATTATTTATATAAATATCTTTGATGTTATCCAAATAAATGTGTTTAAAAAGCTACTGTTACACTAAACAATGATAAATATGTAACTACAAAGTACTTACAAAGAGAAAAGAATTTGGATTTCAAAGACTTGATTACTGTGACTCTAATAATGAGAAGTTAGGGATGAAGACTCGTTAACTGAAGTGTTTTGGTTGTCTTATTACATAAAGTGAGGATCTTCTGGTATTTTACGTACAGGCACGAGACGAGTTGTTATTTAATGAGCAAGTTTTTAGACCACATCATACTCAACGATGGAAGTTCAAATTCTAATCTTTACATTTTCACAGTTTAAAATGTAGTAGTAGTGCGCTCATATTCTTGTTTTCTTAGCTTAAAAGCAAGATATTTTAGCAATCTAAGGTGGTATTTTTCCAGGGAATGGAGAATGATACGGAAAATCCTGGAGGTAAACATGACATTACATTTGTTTAGAAAGTTTTTGGTATTACTACTGGTACTATAGTTGTTAGTGTTTCAGTGTTCTTTTATTCTACTGCAGCGCCTTCTTGCGGTTGCACTTCGGGCACGTGAACTCATATATCACAAGTGAGGTATTCATTATATTCAATTTAAAGTTCATGATCCTTTTTAATCATCTCGACTTTTTCAAACCACACCTTAACTTAATTTGAGGATATATGAAACAAGCATAAGTACCCGTCCCCAGTGACGGAAAAGCTTAAGTAAACTTAACAATCTAACTTATTTCATGGACTTTAAAAAAGTTAATTGTGTTGCACTCGGTTTCACTCAGAGCCAAATCTCTGAGCTACTTATACCGCCCACCACTAAAAGTAATTGTTGAGCATTTCAGTCATGCTAAGAGCCGTTCAACAATAACATACGGTAAATCTACATTTTTATTGTTTAATTACGTCACATTTTGAAATGTGAATGATAATACGATTAATTCCTAACAGTTTAGTGTAGAATATCCTGCTTGCGAAATAAAATTTGACATCAACATTATTTATGCCTGTTCACCTGCCATTTCAAAAGTTAACGTTGAGCTTTGCCTGCGTGCAGTTTTTCAAACGGGAGACAGACGAACACACTGACAAATACACCGGTTCACAATATATATCAGATTAAGGTAATTATTAGTGCTAATATATGACTTTGGAGGTAGCTTGCTTGCTTTGAGAATAAGCAACAGGCCTGTCGCTGGCCTTCCTAAAGGCCATTATAACGCCCCCACGGCTGAAAGGGCGAGCATGTTTGGTGTGACGGGGATTCGAACCCGCGACCCTCTGATTGCGAGTCGAGCGCCCCCTGGCCATGCCGGGCCTAAAACAACGTATATTTAATTGCATGAAAATATTCTTAATCGAAATTATCAATTTACTGGATTTTTTAGACTCATAACGTAGTTGGCCCGGCATGGCCAGGTGGCGCTCGACTCGCAATCTGCTGGTTCGAATCCCCGTCAGACCAAACATGCTCACCCTTTCAGCCGTGGAGGCGTTATAATGTGTCGATCAATCTCACTATTCGTTGGTAAAAAGTAGCCCAAGAGTTGGCGGTGGGTGGTGATGACTAGCTGCCTTCCCTCTAGTCTTACACTGCTAAATTAGGGACGGCTAACGCAGATAGCCCTCGTTTAGCTTTGTGCGAAATTCAAAACAAACAAACATAACATAGGTAAATTAATATTGTTGCCCGATGAAGACTCCAGTAAGAGGGCCGAAAGCTCGCAAATAAAAAGTATCTTAACGTAGAAAAAAGTCCGTGTTTTATTCTAAATAATTCCCTCACTACTCGTTTAAAATCTGATCACTTATATCCCTTTAAATACTTGGGTCTACTATCCGTGCAGTTTTAAACGTATGTTAATAAAATAAACGACCTAATTAAAAAAAAAAAAAGAGGTTGACAATTGTAGACCGGGGCTAAGTTACAAGTTTGGTGTTATGTTAAAGCTGCTGTGTTTTCATATCTTCAATTTTCGTATGTATGGCCCGTGCAACTTATAAAGAAATAAATCTGTTAAATTTTCACTTTCATTTATCAAAAGTTAATCAAATTCTAAACACGTACATTATCATTGTTTTAAATTCAATCACAATTTTTAACGCTTTCTAAGCCGTTCCATCATGCTCAGTTACGCGGTTGGGTTATTAGGCTTGTTCAAGATTTTATTTTTCTGGATATTCGTGTATTAAGGCGAAAAACGCTTTCTAAGCCGTTCCATCATGCTCAATAACACGGTTGGGTTATTAGGCTTAGGCTTATTCATGATTTTATTTTTCTGGATATTCGTGTATTAAGGCGAAAATTATTTAGTTCAATTAAACTTCAGTACAACCAATATGAAATTTAATTTTGCATTTTTTTTTCCTATATGGGAAAGAAGTTCCGAAGATATTCACGACAAATATAAGTTAATCTGACTATGACAAAAAATTGCGTTTATAACCAGCGATTTCTTACCCGATTGTCACCAAAATCTAGTCGTTTGGCGCTCGGAACCTCCACCCCCATGTTACACCCTACGTTTTCTGTCTTCACCGCGCGTTGAACGGGTATGTTAATTAATACATGTATAATGTTATATTAACAACCAACGTTTTACTAATAATTTCTACGCGCGTATCTCGACAACTAAAAGACCGATGTATACGATTTTTTTACACAAGATGGGAAGTCAGTATGGGACAGTCCTCTCCAAATCACTTTGAAGCATTTTTTAGAGTGGGAAGTTAGGGCATTTTCTTGGTTTGGCGTTAATAACAGTAAAGCGTGATCGGATTTGTACCCAAGTTCATGGGCACATTAAGGTTGAGACTCTCGGTCACACTACAAAAAATGATCACTGTGCATCTTGGAAAGTGAAACTTAACGTTATCTATATACTACTAAAAACTCCGAGATTGTTTGTTTGCTTGTCTGTAATTAAATACAGCAAAAAAACGGCACACAATAGCGCCATATTGTAATGAAATGAGAATAGAAACAGAATAAAACAAGTTTCGTTAAAATCGGGCCACGGGTTACCTCCGTTTTTCTGGTCACTTTATGAAAATT